CAGAGCTCCTGCAAAGCGGTCTTCCCTCGGTGGCTTCCACGCTCCCCTGCCCGGCCCTGGATCCTCAGTGTCCTTGTCACCCATCTCTTCTGTGAGCCACTTCCCTGGGACCTCTGACGGGAGGGGGGCACCCTAGGCCAGAAAGCCACTAGAGCGATAAAGCCCCCACACCCAGATTACCAGTTGCTGGCCCTCAGCTGCCCTGCAGAGGAGGATGGGGTCCCGCTGCCGCTGGAGGGACCATGTGGCTGGCTCTCTGGGCGGTTCCTACAGGAGCTGGTGGGATTACATCCTCCTTCCCCTGGTCCTGGGGGCTCTGCTGCTTAGAACCAGCCCCAGAGCTGGCATGGCCTGTTGTGGGGCTGAGGGAGGAGCCTAGAGCTGGAGGCTTCGAGAAGGTGGGAGCAGAGCAGGGGAGGGACTGAGAAGGGCATGACCTAAAGGGGTGGGGTCGAGAGGGAGGAGCTGACAAGGGAGGGGCTTAAAGGGGAAAGAGCAAGATAGGAGTAGCCTAAAGGGGAGGAGCTGAGGAGGAGGAGGAGAGGCTTAGATGGGAGGGACCTAGGTGGGAGGGGCTCTAGATGGGAGTGGCTTAAAGGGGAGGGTCCAAGTGGGGGAGGGGCCCCTCCCTGTGGAGTGCAGGCCTCCGGAGCAGCAGGGCTCTCAGGGTGTGTGACTCCCTGCTGGGCCTGGGTCTCAGCCTCATTTTCCTGGGGGCTGGGGGTCCAGGGCAGCTGAGAGTACAGGGTCCCCTCCTGCATCACTGATGATGGCACAGCTCCATCTTAGTCTCAAGAGGGCCTTTTCTCCTGGACCCCCGCTTCCATCCATGGCCTCCCATCCACCACACTGATGCTCAGCCTAGCATGCAAGCTTGTCCCCCTTCCCATTTCCTTGGGGCAGAACCTGCCACCTGCTTTCCGAAACACTTGGTGATCCTGCCTTCCTCCCATTTACATCTTTGTCTAGGGATTTTCTGAGTAGGACAGTCAATCCCCATGTCCTAGGCGGCATTCATGGCCCTGTTCAGAATCTCCCACCTAAGCAATGAAGCCCCAATGCCTGCTTTCGAGCCACCTCTTGGGTCTTTCTGGACCATTCTCACATTTCCCTGAGGTTCTAGGGTGTCATCCCGGCTGGGTCCTTGCCCCAGCACCACTGGAGAGATGCTGGGGTGGGCATTGTTATGGGGTGACTTGTGCCCCCCTACAAATTCATATGTTGAATGAAGCTCTGATCTGCAGACCACAGTGTGTGACTTCGCACTTGGACATGGAGTCTTTGCAGATGTAATCAAGTTCAGGTGAGGTCATTCAGGATTAGGGTGAGCCACTAAACCAATGTGACTGCTGTCCTTATACAAAGGGACATTCGGGCAGACATGCAGAGATGAAGACAGAGATTGAGGTGCTGCTTTTACCAGCCAAGGAAGACCGAAGATTGCTAGCAACCCTGGAACAGATTCTCCCTGTGACACAGAGGAACCAGCCCTGCCAACATCTTGACCCTTGACATTCGACCTCTAGACCACGAGAGAATAAACTTCTGTTGTTTATGCCCTGTAGTCATGTACCAAGCCATAGGAAACTAATAGAGATTTTGGTGTCAGAAGAGGCGTGTTGATGTAACAAATATGTAAAACTGTGGAAGTGAATTTGGAATTGGCTAATGGGTCAAGGCAGGAAGAGTTTTGAGGTGCATGTTAGAAAAAGCCTAGATGTCCTTGAAGAATGCTGGTAGAAACGTGGATGTTAAGGGTGATTCTGGTGAGGCTCAGAAAGGAAGAGGGAAACTACAGGGAAAACTCCTCTCATCTTAGTGAATACTTAAATTGTCATGAATAGAATGTTGCTAGAGTTTTGAATGTTCAAGGTGCCGCTGGTGAGGCCTCTGACAAAAATGACGAACATGTTATACGTATAAGTGTTGAACTTGGATATTTAGCTGAGGAGATCTCTAAGCAAAGTGTTGAAGGGATGGCCTGATTTCTCCTTGCTGCTTACATTAAAATGTGGGAGGAGAGAGACATATCGAAGAGGGAATTGTTAAGCAAACAGGAACCACAACTTGGACAGCTGGAAGGTCTCAGCCTGTCCAGTGGTGTGCTCTGGAAACGGCCTAGGGCATGTTTGGACAACCGCTTCCTAATGAGATTGTACATGTGGCTCGTGGATCCCATCAACCATCTGAGCAGAAGCCAGGGATGGAAATGAGGTCACCCAAGTGTATTTGGAGGACCCTCTTGTCTAATGATTTCAACGCCATGAATGTCATGGGAGACTGACAAAGCTTTTGGGAATTTTATGACTGCAGAAACAATGCTAGCTTGGGCTGGAGGGGAGGGAGACCAGACGAAATGAAGGGAGAATGACGAGATCAGAGCCACTGATGCAAGGCTGTGGATGCAGAGGGTGGAGCGGCCTCAGAGGGCCTAGAGGACAGAGCATGGGCCCGAAGAGGGCTGGTTATGAGCTTCAGATCTGAGGGGTTTGGCCCTGCTGGTTTGGGACTTGCTGGGCACCCGTGCTCCAGTCTCTCCCTTTTGAAATGGGAACAACTACTCTATGTCTGTCTCATCATTGTGCTTTGGGAGAAGGTAACTGGTTGTCTACTTTCTCAGGTCCAAGATGGAGAGGAATTTTACTCCAGAATGAATCATCCCTGAGCCTCATTCATACCTGATTTGGGTGATATTTAGTTGAGATTTTGGACTTAGAGATGAAGTTGATGCTGAATGGGGTTGTTGAGATGTGAGATGCTGAAGGTTTGTGTGTGAGAAGGATATGAGTTCTGGGTGGTCGGAGGGTGGACTGTCACAGGTCCAGTTGTGTTCCCTTACAAATTCATATGTTGAGGCTCTAACCTCCAGGATCTCAGAAAGTGACCTATTTGGAAATAGTGTCTCTGCAGATGCAATTGAGTTCAGACGAGGTCCTTCTGGGTTAGGGTGCACCTCTAAACCAGTATGACTGCTGTTCTTGTAAACAGGGAACATTTGGACAGACAGGCACGCAGGAACAGTGCCATGTGAGGTGGAGGCAGAGACTGGGGCACTACCTCCACCTGCTAAGGAAGACCAGAGATTGCCAGCAAACCCCAGAAGCCCGGAGAAGGGCCTGGGGCAGACTCCCCCCGTGACAAGGAGGCACCTGCCCTGCCGACATCTTCACCCTAGACATCTGTCCTCCAGCCCAGGAGGGAATAGGCTTCTGTTGTCAAAGCCACACAGTCTTGGTGCTTGTTGTAGCATCCTTAGCTGACAGACACACGCTTTGTCCTGAATGGTCATCCAGCCCATCTGCAGACTCCCAGCCCTCTGGGTATGACCAGGCTTGTGGGGTCCTCACCTCATCCTCCCCAGCCGGGGAGGATAAGCCCATGATGAGCTCCATGAAATCATGATGGAGCCTAGGCTGGAGGCCACCGACACGGAGCCCACAGCTGGAGGGCAGATGCCCACTGACTATGTGGCATCCCACTCTCTTGGATGCACTCTCTAGGGCCAGGCTGGTGCCAGCGTAGGGTCTGTCAGGGACACGTGCGGCTGTGTCCTCTGAAAGGCACACTTAGTGGGAGGGATGTGACTTGCATGCTGAGGTCCCAACACCCCCAGGACAGCTGCCTCAGAGTGAATGCCGGGTTGGTCCTCAAAACCCTGAGATCGCTTCCTCCTGGGGCTCTACTCACAGGCCCTTCTGAGACACTGTCCCAAATGCCTCTTGTAAGACACACCCTTGGCCTCAGACTGTGGCAAGACCCTCGGGCCTGGTCCTCTCCTTCCCACCACTGTCTCTACCTGGACTTGCAGCTGTCCTGGGCTTCCCCCAGTGACCTGTGGGCCACCCTGGCCCCTGCACCATGGCCAAGCGAGCCCCCAACTGATGCCCCTAATGGTGTCTGCTTGACTCCCGTCTCTGAGCTAATTTTCTGTCCTCGCCTCTTTGGGAGTTTTGTTCTCCTCCACAGCCCTCGGCCTCTGCCTCCCTATTATTGTCTCCATGGAGGCTTTCTCCCATGCCGTGTCACCCACACATGCTCCCGGCTGGGGTCATGGACTGTGTGCCATGTCACCTGCACTCCCATGGTTAATCCTCACCCTAAACCCATGGCGTGAGGGGGTGGGGCCTCCGGGAGGCGATGCGACCATGAGTCTGGAGCCTCATCTCATGACGGTTAGTGCCCTTATGAACGGCACCCCAGGGAGCTCCTCCACCCTCTTCCCGCCACATAAGACCTCAGCTGGATGATGCCGTCTCTAAATTGGGACATGGCCTTCATGACACGGAGTCAGGAACTTTGACCTCAGGTGCCCAGCCTCCAGAATGGCAAGAGGCTTTTGTTTGAGCCTCTCAGTCTACCACACTTTGTCACAGTGGTCAGAGCCAACTGAGACACTTGTTTACCTGAAAATTTTGTTACAACTTTCACACTCCCGTGCAGCTGCCTGACGGCCTGTGCTCCTACAGAGTGTGATTTCCCCACCCTGAGCAGAAAGGGCCTCAGGGTCCCAAGGGCTTGACCTGCCCCTTCTGAGTCCCTGCAGTGGCCGGGCTTGCTCGGGACAGTGGCAGGAGTGACCTCGGCCCCTGCTGAGCACACACCGAGGCCCCGAGGCTGAGCCCCGTCTCCCAGTTGGGACGGTGTTTGGGAGACCAGGCCTAGGTTCCCTCCTATTGTGGGCAGTTCGAACCTGGGCACTCTGACCCCATGTGGCCCCTTTCCCTGGGCCCAACACCAGCAAGCCTGTGCTGAGACAGCTCCTTTACCCACAGCTCTCTAGGAATTTGAGTCCCCCTTCGAGATGCAGACGCAGCAGGAAAGGTTTGAAAAAGAACTCTAGGAGAAGCAGTTTCACAGAATAAAGTGTATGTGTTTATTTTGGGGCAACAAGCGTATACACAGCCAACACAGGGCAGCGCCGTGCCATGGATGCAGGTCAGTGGCATCGCCCAGTTAGGGAAGCATGAGTTAGAGCTGAAGCTGGGGTAGCCCGTGGAGGACTAAGCACAAGCCAGAAGGCCACACGGGTTGGGCCCCAGCCCGCAGGCAGCCCTCCTGCTTCCGTTCCTTTGGTCTCTGATGTCCCTCGGTTGGGTGGTCACTTCACCTGCCGGGACAGAGACAGTGTGAATCACCTTTTCCATAGCTGGGACAGTGGTGGGGACGGTGGTGACGGCAGGGTTGGGACGGGAGCCGGGGGCAGTGGTGACAGTGGGGTTGGGACAGGAGCCGAGGCAGTGGTGATGTGAGGTTGGGACTGGAGCTGGGGCAGTGGTGACGCAAGGCTGGGATGGGAGCTGGTGACAGTGGTGGTGACATGAGGTTGGGAGCTGGGGGCAGTGGTGATTTGAGGCTGGGATGGGAGCTGGGAGCAGTGGTGACAGTGGGGTTGGGACGGGAGCCGGGGCAGTGGTGACGTGAGGCTGGGATGGGAGTTGGGGGCAGTGGTGACAGTGGGGTTGGGACGGGAGCCGGGGCAGTGGTGACGTGAGGCTGGGATGGGAGTCGGGGGCAGTGGTGACAGTGGGGTTGGGACGGGAGCCGGGGCAGTGGTGACGTGAGGCTGGGATGGGAGTCGGGGGCAGCGGTGACAGTGGGGTTGGGACGGGAGCTGGCAACAGTGGTGGCGTGAGGCTGGGATGGGAACTGGCGACGGTGGTGATGTGAGGTGGGGACAGGAGCCGGGGGCAGTGGTGACGGAGGGTGGCCGTGCCAGGCCCTGGGTCTGACGTCCCTGCGGCCTCCCCCTGCACCTGCTGCTCTACCTTGAACAGGGTGACCGTGGTGCTGTAGAAGAGGCTCAGGAGGAAGAGCACGATGAAGGTGGAGGCGGTGGCCCACAGGTTCTCGAAGCCCTCCTCCTCTGCGCTCACTTCCCCCTCTGCAGGGACAGCACAGAGGGCAGGGTCAGGCTGCAGCTGCGGGGCGGCTGCCCAGTGACAGCCCCCACCAGGTCAGTCCCCGGGGGTGGGGAGGAGAGTAGCCCATCCTCGAGCCCACCCTGGACCCCTGACTGTGCTGCGCCCTGGGGATGGGGAGTAGTGGGGGAGGGGGAGACAGTGCAGAGCTCAGAGCAGTCAGGGTGTGTGCACAGGGAGAGTCTAGAGCCAGGCATGGGTGGATCCCCAGCCACCTGATGTGCAGGCGGGCACAGGCCGAGGCTGAGCAGCGTTGGGACCCTGCAGTCGTGTCCCAGGGGCCCAGAGGTGCCAGAGAGGGCGCGAGACATGCAGCACATGGACATGAGGGGTGCTGGAGGTTGATGCCCCAGCGGAGTGGTGGCCAGCATGTCCTGACTTTCCTGGGGATGGGGGCGGCAGAGCCAGAGCCATGGGGGCATGGGCAGGGAGGCCTCTGTTCCCTGGGGTGCGGTGTGGACAGGTGGGATGACTGGGCTGAGGGTGCCCCTCCTCACTCCCCATCAGACTTGGATTCCCCAGCTGCTTCTCTGAGCAGAATCTGTGTGGGGATATCGGCGGGCTCTGCCTGCCCTGCCAGGCCAGAGGACAGATGGATGCCTGAGCTTTACAATTGGATGAGGGCATCAGGTGCTGCAGCTCTGCATAGGTGACTCTTGGCAGCATCTGAAGCTCAGGCTCCAAAGGGCTAAGTGTGTGAGGAGGCTCTCAGAGGCAGCCTCACTGGGGCCTGGCCTTGCCTGCCCAGCACTGCCTTCCCTGGGAAGCTGTCTTTACAGCTTCCTGCCCTGGGTGGGCAGGGGCTTTGCCTACTCATCGGCCTCAGCTTCTGAGGCATCCTCTGAGAGGAGCCCCTAGGGTGGTCTTCCCGCACCTGGCTGATGCCCAGGCATTGCTGCTCTTGGGATATGGCCTGGCCCCTGGCTCTGCTTGGGTGTGGGCACCAGGGGACCGACTGTCCTTCTCAGAAGCCTGGGCTGGAGGCCTCTGTATTTGGGCCCCTCCCAGGCACAGGCCTAGGATTCCCTGAAGAACCATTGCTGGTTCAGCCCGGGGTGGTTCTTTGAGCCCTTTGCCCTGGGCCTGGAGATGGTGGCCCTGGTCAGGGCCAGCCTGGGCCAGCCCGGGGAAGCCCCTCCAAGTTGAGATAGAAGGACAAGCAGAGCCTGGGACCAGGAGCCCAGAGCCAGCATGAGCAGGAAGCAGAGCTGCTGGGAGAATGGAGTATCTGACAAGCACTGAGGGGCTGCAGGAAGGCTGGCTTGTGTGTGCACGTGTCTTTGTATGTGAAGGCTGGCTTGTGCACGTGTCTTTGTATGTGTCTGTGTTTGCATGTGTGTTCATCTGTGTTTGCTGTGTGTACCTCTCTGTGTGTGTGGATGTGTATGTATTCATGTTAGTGCACATGCATGTTTGTGTATGTATGTGTCCACGTGTGTGAATATGTATGCCCACATTTGTGTGTCTCAGTGTGAGTCCATGTTTGCCCATGTCCATGAGTGTCCATATCTGTGTCTCTGTGTGAGGCTGTGAATGTGTTATGTATGTGTGGGTGTCCATCCATACATGTGTGAGTCTGTGCGTGTATGCCAGAGTGTTAAAATTCTCTGTGTGTGCATGTGTGCCCATGTCTCTGCATGTCCCTGTGTGTGCCTGTGTTAGTGTGTCTTTATGTGTGCACGCGTCTGTGCATGAGTGTCCATGTGTGTCCAAGCACATGTGTCCATGCATGTGGGCATGTGTGCCCCAGTCATGTGCCCTGCTTTCTGCCATCCTTCTGGAAGCAGCAGAAGGCGCGGCATGCCTGGGTTCTGCCTGTGAGGCTGCTCAGAGGTACGGTGGGTGAGGCAGGGTGGGGTGTGGTGCAGGGTGGTCTGTGGGGTGGGCGCAGGGTGAGTGCAGCACAGCCGCAGCCCCAGCAGGCACTCAGGACCAGTCTCTTTTGAATGGATCTCTTTATTTCTAATTTCACAAGAGGCGACAGATCACCCTGTGGACCCGGCTATTTGCACGAGCACAGCAAGCCTGGCCACCTGAGCCTGGCTGCTGGGCAGGCCAGATGGTCAATAGCAGGTGCCAGCTGTGTCGGACATGATCAGGGACACGTTGTACAGGGTGGGTTTACCGGTGGACTTGTCCACGGTCCTCTCGGTGACCTTGTTGGGCAGAGCCTCATGGCCCACGACGCAGGTGAAGCTGTCCCCTCTGTTCCAGTCTTCCTCGGACACGGTCAGTGTGCTGTGGGTGAAGAACAGGCCTGGGACCTGGGGCTCAGGGGCCGGTGTGCTGGTCACGTACTTGTCGGGGGACAACGGCTGCCCCCTCTGCATCCACTGCACAAACACATCTACCGGGGAGAAGCCCTTCACCAGGCAGGTGATGGTGGCCAACTCCTGCTGACTCAGCTCCTCCCGGGGCGGCGGCAGCAGGTACACCTCGGGCTTATGCTGGGCCATCCCTGTGGGCAGAGAGATGTGTGAGTGGAGGGGGAGGCCCCAGGCAGGAAGGGGGCCTGGAGATGGATGGAGGAGCCCCGAGCAGGAAGAGGACCTGGGGATAGGTAGGGGGTCCTGGTCAGGAAGGGGGCCTAGGGATGGTTGGAAGGGTCCTGGGCCTAGGGATGGCTGAAAGGGAGGGCGCCTGGGGTCATGCGAAGGGATCCTGGGTAGGGAGGAACCCTGGGGATGGGCGAGGAGGTCCTAGGCAGGGAGGGGGCCTGGAGATGGGCAAGAGGGTCCTGGGCAGAGAAGGCACTGGAGATGGCTGAGGGGTTCCAGGCAGGAAGGGGCCCTGGGGATGGGTGAGGGGGTCCCGGGCAGGAAGCGGGCCTGGGGATGGCTGAGGGGGTCCTAGGCTGGGAGGGGACCTGGAGATGGCGAGGCGGTCCTGACAGGGGGCCACCTACCCTTGGTCCTGGAGACGTCCTGCTTGATTGGTGAGGGCAGGTCCGTGTGGCGCACAGTGCATGTGAACCGCTCCCCTGAGTTCCAGTCGTCCTCACAGATACTGGCCTCGCCCATAGCGCTGAACGTGCCATTGGGGTGGCTCTCGGAGATGCTCATGTGAGTCAGCAGCATCTCGCCGCTCTGGCGGGTCCAGGAGATGTTTAGGCTGTCGTAGGTGGTCAGGTCGGTGACCAGGCAGGTCAGCTTGGTGGACTTGGTGAGGAAGATGCTGGCAAAGGAGGGGGGCACGGCAAAGACCTGGATACCAGGGGATGGACCTGGAGGCAGAAGGATATGGCTCAGGGCCTGCTTGGTGTGAGCTGGGGAAGGGGTGGTTTTCACCCAAAGAGCTGCTGCCTTCCCTGGGCCCCCAGTCCTGCCTTGGGGCCCTGGCTGCCCCTGTCCTTGGCCGCTCTGGGCAGCCAAGGCTCAGGGAGCAGGTGGCCACATGTGGGGCAGCATCCGTCAGGCCCGAGCAGACTTCACGTGTGTGTGTGTGTGTTTGTGTGTGTGTGTGTGCCAGGAGGGATGGGTACTGCCTTGGGGACAGGCCACTCACCGACGTTGCACACGGAGGACACGTTCTTCTGGAAGACCAGACCCCTGTGATCCACACGGCAGGTGAACATTTTCTGACTGACCCAGTCACTCTCACTCACAGTCAGCGTACTGGTAACCTTGAAGGTCTTGGGCCCAGACCCCTTGACCTCAGCTTTCACGGGGTCTGTGGTGACACCAGACTCCACCTGCCTCCCGTCACGTAGCCAGGACACCTTGATCTGCTGGGGGCTGAAGTCTGTGGCCTGGCAGATGAGACTGGACTTGCGGGGGGAGCCATGGAAGGCGTTGCGATCCGGGACAAACATGCTCACGTTGGGGGCCTGCTCCTCAATCGCTGCTGTGGAGGGGACAGATGTCAGCCCGAGGTCACCCCACCTGCCTGGAGTCTCCCGCTGCCGCATCAGGGCTGGGTTGGCGCTCACCTGGGAGAGGCACGTTCAGGTCCTTATTGCCATTGTTGTGCTTGACTTTGCACACCAGGTGGTCATCTGTTCCCTGCAGGACATCCTGGGAGGGCAGCCACACCTGCGAGGTGGCCATGTACTTGCCATTCTTCTTCAGGATGGGCGGGAAGTTCTGCACGCTTCTGACATCTGATTGGTTCTTGTACTTCCAGGAGAAGGACAGGGAGTCGGGCAGGAAGTCCCGCGCCAGGCAGCCAACTGTCACTTTGCTCTGCTCCAGCAAGGAGTTCTCACAGGAGACCAGGGGGAAGAGGGTGGGGGCGGCTTGGCTCTCTGAGAAGCGGTGTGGGTGGACAAAAGAGAAAGGGAGGGGTGAGGAGCCGTCTCCTCCTGCCCTTCCGGTCGTGGCTGAGTGGTGCTCTTGCCACGGCTGCCCCTTCGGGGCCGAGTCTACCTGCTGGCCTCCAAGGCGTGGGTGGTCGTGGTTGAGGGTATGGCAGGAGCCATGGTGAAGCCTGGGGTCCTCATACAGGCACCGGCACATGCAGGCCCCAGACCCCTGCGCCTTGACCGACCTGCCCCATCCACCTGACTGCTGCCCTGCACTGAGGGGCACACCTGCCCTGGCTTCTTGCCAGGATGGCTTGGGCTCAGACATGAGTCAGGCCAGCTCTGCTTTCCTTGGGGCCAGGAGCCACAGTGCCAGTACACTCAGTGCACAGCACATGGAACTGGAAGGGTTCAGGCTCCACATCTGGGCAGGAAGCCTGCAGCCATGCCAGGCAGGCTGCCCTGAGGACAGCCCCAGTAGCATGACCATGCTGCCCCCAGCTCTGCTACACTCCAGCTGTCCTGAGTCTCTCAAGGAGGACAACTCAGGCCTGTGTGGGGTCCCTGGGAGGAAGGGTGTGAGGAGAATCCAATGTAGGCTCTGCCCAGTTGATCACAAATGCTAGTGAGAGCGCCTAGATCAACCCAGCACAGCATCAGCCAGGACAGTCCAGCATAGGCATCTCAGCCCAGTGGAGGTCACTCCAGCCCAAGGCAGGTCCAAGACACAGCTCAGCCAGACCAAGCCCAGACAAAAGAGTCAGTGACCCAATAAGCTCACCCTAACTAGCCAGGTGGACTAGCACATGCAGGCCAGGCCAGACAGGCCGAGTTCAGCCTAGTTTAGCCCAGCTCAGCCCAGCCCAGCCTAGCCCAGCCTAGCCCAGCCCAACACTGCCCAGCCCAGTTCAGCTCAGCCCAGCTCAGCCCAGCCCAGGCCAACCCAACCCAACCCAGCCCAGCCTAGCCCAGCCCAGCCCAGCTCAGCCAAGCTTACCCAGCTTACCCAGCCCAGCTCAGCCCAGCTCAGCCCAGCCTGGCCAGGTCTAGATCAGTCCAGCTCAGCTGAACCCAACCTAGCTCACCCAGCTCACCCAAGCTCAGCCCAGCTCAGCCCAGTTCAGCCCAGCCAAGTACAACTCAGCCCAGCTCAGCCCAGCTCAGCCCAGCCCAGTCCAGCTCAGCCCAGCTCAGTCCAGCTCAGTCCAGCTTAGCTGAACCCAGCCTAGCTCACCCAGCTCAGCCCAGCTTAGCCCAGCTCAGCCCAGGTCAACCCACCTCAGTCAAACTCAGCTAAGCTCACCCAGCGTAGCTCAGCCCAGCTCAGCCCAGCCCAGCTCTGCCCAGGTCAGCCCAACTTAGCTGAACTCAGCCTAGTTTACCCAGCTCAGCCCAGCTCAGCCCAGTTCAGCCCAGTTCAGCCCAGCTTAGCTGAACCCAGTCTAGCTTACCATGATCACCCAGCCCAGCTCAGCTCAGCCCAACCCAGCTCAGCTCAGCCCAGTCCAGCTCAGCTCAGCCTAGCTCAGTCTAGCCAAGCCCAAACCCAGCCCAGTTCACCTAGCCTAGCCCAGCTCAGCCCAGCTCAGCTCAGCCCTGCTCAGCCCAGCTTAGCTGAACTCAGCCTAGCTCATGCAGCTCAGCCCAGCCCAGCCCAGCTCAACCCAGCTCAGTCCAGCTCAATCCAGCCCAGCCCAGCCAAGCCCAGCCAAGCTCAGCTCAGCCTA